TCGCAAAATTGCATAGCCCTTCGATGCCCGAGTGTCTAGCACCAAGCCACGAGGCTCGGTTTGCTAGGCCCGAGGCTCAGCTTCCTTGCGTGGCTGCTTCCCCTCGCACATCCACTTGCTGCGCCAGCACGTGCGTGTGGCTGATAGCATCGCACCAAGTGCATTATGCTTGCCACACCGTGAGGGCCTCAAAGGCCAGCTCATGTGCGAGGAGCATGTTGCCTAGCAGCCGCAAGCCGCAGCCTATGCAACAGCACTACACTTGTGCACCAAGTAGCGCACCAAGGCTCACACACATGCACTAGTAGCGCATCAACGATGCACCACCTCGCATCCTCGGCAGCCACATGTGGGCTGCGCAAGTAGCTCGGATGGCCGAGAGAGATGCTTGGGGTTTCGTGCCTCGTTTTGCGCGATTTTGCCTCTGGATTTTATCCCGATTTTTGTGTGACATAAACAATTAATTCTAAATTAATTTTAGAACCAATATTATGCATAAATGAAAATAAAATAAGTCCAACTTAAATAAATTCAATTTTTAGTGCACAAACCAAAATTAATTCAAGAACTATTCTTCAAATTATCTTTGGCTCAACTTGATGCTACAGAATTGAGGGCTATTCTCACAATTAATTTAACCAAACATAAATTAATAATGAGATTTGACAAAATTAAAGGGGTTGGAAAAATAAATACAGTCATCCAATGAAAAATTTCAAGCACTAACTTGTGTAAACTTGAAAAATTACATCTTCCAATAAGATTAATTAAATTCAATCACAAGTTTTGAACTTTTAAGACTTTAATCAACTCAAAATGATTAAATCAAATTAGTTCAATATGGAATCTAGAAAGTTAAGTACTAACCAAATAAACAATTAAAGATTGGATCTTTAACATTTTAAGGGACTTCAAAATTACAAATTCACCATAAATATTCACACTTGAAGCAATTAATTTGCAAAAATGTGAAATTGCAAGTTTATGTGAAAAATGAACTCACCAAATTAAGCACCAAATATGGCTTCATAAACATGCTTAATAAGGTTTATTATTGCAGTAGATTAATGGTGTAACCATACACATAATCTAACATTAACATGACATAATTAATCAAGGTTTAAAGATTTAAAATTTTTCGTCAAAAACGAAAAACCCCTCGAAAAACATGTTTTTGGGTGGATTTTGGCTTCTGGATAGCCCTCGAAGAAAGCCAAAATGATTTAGAACATTGATTCCACCCAAAATTCACTATTTTTGGGTCGAAATCTGGGTTCTTTAGCCAAAATCAGCATTAAAACGAGATTAAAAATAATTTAAACGAGATTCTAATTTAATTAGAAAGCAAAACCAAAAATTTTAATCCATTTAAATCACCTTAATTAATTATTAGTTACAATAATTAAATGAGCGCGGCTCCGATACCGCTGTTGGGTTTCGCAGTGTCCAACACTACGCGGAATAAAACCCTCCCAAAATCCGCACACAAATTAAAGTAACTAAACATGCATACTAACTAACAATCACATAATTAATAAACAAAGAGAGAGAAAAAACGATCATACCCTTCATGCTTGCGTCGCTCCTTTTAAAGCTCGAACTTGAAAGCGTAAAGCTCCGCAAATGCGCAAGCCTCCAACGACTCTCACCCTCGAGACCCGACCCGAACGACCCCTACCCTGAAGCTTAGTCGGGGCTAGACCAAAAGAACTTAGAGTATTAGAACTAAGGTTTTCTCTTCTTGGAGATCCCTTAAAGTTCACAACTCAAGTGTCCCTTCCCAATGCCAAATGATTGGTATTTATAGGGAAGGGAGCCCTCGAATTCCAATCTCCCATCAGTGTGGAAAAGTTGGTAAAATGCATTTTATTCAATTTAATTAAATTCAATAATCAAATTGAAATGCAAATGAATCAACAAGTGACAAGTGTTAAGTGGTGAGCAAGGGGTTAGGTGAGGACGATCGCCGGATAATAGGTCGTGTCTACTATCCTAAATCAAATCAACAATTTATATTCCTAACCTAACTCTATCAAGTTCACACTAGATAGTGGCAAGCTAGGGTCGAACCATAAGGAAACGGGGCATTGCACAATCAAAGTGGAGTTAAGAATCTATTGCAAGTAACAAGGGGTATTTTGATTGTTTTCGTGAATTTCTATGATCAAATTATCTACTAAAAATATTAAAGCAAGAAATATAAAAAAGTTCAAACTAGAAACATTAAAATAAGGATGGAAAACTATATTTGAGAGAAATATGATCAAAACACTAGGGAGAGGGGGTTCCAATCATGATCAACTAAGACAACAATGATAATTAACATGGATTCATACCAAGGAATACAAATTCTACTCAAATAATTCATTCCCATGCAATTACTCAAGCAAATTGATAAAATAGATCAAAACTAAACTAGATCATTCCCATGCATCTAATTTAGAACTCAAATATTGAAATTAAAGGTGCACATCAATAACTTCAAGTAATTTAAGCACAAAATCATCAACTCAAGGATAAATCTAATCAATCATCAATATAATCCCAATCAATCATGATCTTCACCACCTTCCCTAGCTAGAAATCTAAGCTAGAGAAGAGAAAATAGCCATCACAACTACACTAAGCTTGGATTCAATCTTAACAAAGCTAAACATGATTCAAATTCAAGGAAAAAGCAATCAAACAAGGAAAATCAAGGAAATAGATGGAAATCAACACTATCAAAAGTAATTAAACCAAACATAAGGTAAGAGTAAAGAGATTACTACTATGAAGCTTGATTGATGAAGAAAACATGAAATACTTGCATTGAATTGAGGAAAACTTGAAGAAATCTTGATTACAATGATGAAACTTGAAGATTAAGCAACTTTCTCTCTCTAAAATACTAGAGTTTCTCTCACTACAAAATTCTAATTATTATTGGAAAAAATAGCCTCCCTTCATAAATTCAAGAGAAAGTCTATTTATAGTGCATAAAAAATCCGGAAATAATGAACTAAGGAGAGCCCACTCAAGCAAGGCCGCGCCTTCTCCAAGCTGGGTATGGAGTTGCAAAACCCACGAAGCTGCGCCCGCGGGTTACTGATGGAAAGCCCTCTCCCAGTTGGGGAGAGGTCGTGACTGGGAAACAGAGGAAACAAAGCCACGAATAGCCGTGCCCGTGGCCTTATGTGCGGCGTCCGCGGGTGACAGGGGAGAGCCCTCTCCAAGCGCGCGGCCAACCTTCTACAGGTTCTAAAGATGAGCTCCAATTCATTTTGTCCGCGCCCGCGGCCTGGACACCTGCACCCGCGGCTCCCTGTAGAGCTGCACGCCCTCTCTCTTGAGCATCTCCTCCTCTTCCTTAGCCCCATTAGCTCCTTTAACTTCATCCAAGAGTGCCAAAAACCTTCAAAATCAACAAAGAAAAGAAATAAAACAAAAGAAAAGATAAAAGAAGAGGAAAATCACGAGAAAGAACAAAAATAACCAAAACAAGGATAAAAACGGCTAGAGAAGGTGCAAACAAGTGACAAATAGGGGAAAATCATTAATAAAAAGGGCTAAATAATGGCATAAATGCCACTCATCAAAGCTCCCACACGCAAGTGCTATAGTTGGGCATTAGCACAAGGCCTGGCTGGCTGCCAGCCTTGCTATGTGGCACAGCCAGCACACGCATAGACCAGCTTACGTGCTTGGCCTCGTGCCGTGCGACATTGCTGCTCGCATGGCCTAGCATGCTAGCTAGGCCCTCGCTGCCCCACAAGGCAGCTGCTGCCACACCCCTGCTAGCTCAGCGATGCTTGCTGGTGCTAGCTTGCGTGCGACTAGGCGCACTAGCCCCGCAAGCATGCTCGGCCAGCAAGCCAAGCACGCGCATGCATGCTTGGCTTGCGGCACAGCCATGTTTGCGGTTGGTGCCCTATGCTAGCCTAGCCTTCGCATGGCTAGGCCAATACGAAGCTACGACTTAGCTTAAATTTGTCGTTTGATTGATTTCTCGTCTCGTCGAATCCTAAATTCGACTCGACTTACAACACTCGATTTCGACGCTCTAAGCTCAATATCCGATGTCTTTGTTCGTAATACTCTAATGACTCATTTAATCCTTCGGATTAATTCGTCATTTCGGTTCGGTTACTTGATGTTCAGTCAAGATTAAGCTATAATATTAATTATGCATTAATATTAATGATCGGAAGCGGCCTCCAGCTAGGCATTCCGATCACTTGACCTCACTGAATTATTAGCTTTCTAATAATTCCGAACTCTTTATCGGAATAATACACTTGTTCGGAGGACACCATTCCTTTCATTTTTTTGCCCCATTGCTAAAATATGGGTCAAACTTTAAAAATTTTGACCATTAATTCTTGTTTTTCAACAAGAGATAATATAGTCAAATGAGATTTTGTTTGATTCGTCTCAATGAATATTTTATTAATATCAACTTTTATAATTTTACACTTATAAAAATATCGATATAAACGTTTTGACACTTGTGTTGGAGACTATGAAAAATCAAGTGAGGCAAAAAAAAAAAGGGGGCGGGGGGGGGGGGGGGGTGGAAGAGGGAGTATTTCTTACAAAGCACGCCCCAGTTGATATATTTGTTAAACGTTTTTCGTTTATAAAGTGGTTCTTTTGTAAATAAGTCAAACAATATTAATTGTCAACTCATGAGTATGATGTCAATTATTGTTGCGTGGCAAGATTGGTCATTTAACTTAGCCAACAATGAAATAACTCCGTGATAAAGCTTCATTCATTCATCAATGGCGGCCACAAAACCACCACCACTCTAACCAAACATGAACCTCTGTGAAGATCATCTCAACTCAACCCATCGACGACATCACCATTATCGGTGGCTTCGCCGTCGAATTAAACGAAAACCCTATGAATAAAGGGTTAAATTAAGGGCATGGTCAACCCCAAAGGATAGGGGTGACCATGTCCTCCATTGAAGCAGTTTTCTTTGCTGATTTTCGAAGGTGCTGTTGAAAATCGTGAAAATTAGGAAAAATTTCATAAGGAAGAGGAAAGAGGAAGAAGTACTTCAATGGAGCAAACAAATTTTATGTTGTAACTCTTTGGTAGGTAAGCATTAAGTGAGTTTCATGACATAACATTGTATCCATGTCAGTCATGATAAAAATACAATCTTACCCCCTTTAAGGTAAGAAAATTGTCCAAAATACCCCTTGATATGTTTTTTTTTTTTTTTTTTGATCAAATTGATGGACTAGTATTTTCTCTTAAATTAGATTGAGTAATAAAAAACTGATGAACGTAAACCTATCTGTACTCAGTTTCCCGCTCTCTCTCGGTTTCCCATTGTAGCGCGCTGAACGCTCTCCATTGAGGCGACTTCTGCAATCTCTATCCTCCATTGAAGCAGCTTTTGAGGTAAGCTGTTGTTTACTTTTGTATTCATCGAATATTAATTTCACAATCTAGGGTTTATTGTTGATTTTATGTTCAGTATACTCAATTTAGGGTTATTTTAAAGTCAATTATCATAACTAGCGATTTTGTTGCTAGAGAAGAAAATTATGAGATTATTCGACCCTAATTTGCTGCTTGAATCAAATTTTCCTTTAATATTAGGATGGAACTATGAAATTGGACCTTTTCTACCAAAAAACATGCGATTTTTCGAGCCTAAATTGATAATTGAATCAAGTTTAGTTGCTATTTGTTGCGAACCTTTAATGCTAGAATGGAACTATGATATTGGACCTTATCTCACTGGGCCCGGGGCAGCCGCCCCTTCTGCCATGGCTCAGGGACGAGCCTGGTTTTAATTGTATTTAGTTTTTACGGCAAGTTTTTTAAATAAACTTATTTTAATGGAATTAGGGAACTTGTTTTGAGCGGGTTTTGAGGAGGCATTAGGTCTTAAGCTTCTAAACGACGTATTGTTCATGTTTTTTGTATTCATGGTTAGAGAATCTTGCTTGACTATGAAATTTGTAGAAGAGCTTGTGTTAAATTGCTGGTTAATAAACTTATTGGTGATGTTGATATTTACTTATTATAGTAGCTATATAAATCGGTTGTTCTATGACGCTTGTAAGTTGTGATCCAGTGAATTATGAAGTTATATTCCATTGTGAATAATACCCTTCAATGTTTGTTATATATCCTTCATCATTGATAGTAGTTGATGTTAAGCGTGGTGATACATTCCTATTTCTAGGTGAACCCATTTTTTGGTATATATATTTGTTAATTTCTTGTGTTGCTCATATGGAGATTTTTTAGGTTGATACTAATCTTGGAATAAAGATTAAATTTTGCTAATATAGATGTGGAAAATGCTAGGTTGAATTGGAAGTAATATTTCGGGCTGATTTGATTTGGTAGAAAAGTGGAAAATTTTGGATTGTTTTATTTTGGGGTTTAAGGTATGGAAACCAGGGGACAACTCAAAACCAATCCCCATCAAGAAATTCGGTCCAGATTCAATAGTTCTAATGTTCTGGTCCAGAAAAAAGGTATAGAGGACAACTCAATTAATTCAATTCCCTACTATCTTCTTAGCTACTATTTGAAAGGAAGCTTCTAAGGAAAACATTAGCTCTACCAAATTCTTAATCTAGGCCCTAGATTAATATGAAAAAAATTTGAGAATTAATAATGTAATAAGTGGAACATAAAGCAGAATAATGAATGCCAAGTTGCTTAGTCGAGACCCAAGAGTAAGTCAAGGGTAGGCCATGAGCCATTGTCAGCGGTGAAAACAAAGAAGCAGCCAATCCAGGGCCAGGTTGTGAGGTGACGCAGTATAACTTAGAAATTTAGAATAGTCATATGTCTCTTGTTTCTTGGCCTAATTTTGCATCTGACATTTCGACCTCTCTTTGGAGAGTTTTTGAACTGTAATTTCACCTTCAAGTGGTCTATTAGTCTTTCACCTTGTCCAGTTTTCCCTTGAGACTTGAGTCATATACGTTCAAAGTTGACCCTTGTGTATTTTACCTTGTTTTTTCTACCTTTTGCCTTTTCATGACGATGTTTAATCCCGGAATGGCCTTCCCTATGGCTCCGATTGTCCCTTATCCAAAATATAAGCATGCAAAGCTCTAAAGTGAACTTATTACATCTCCAAAACACATGTTTTGTCTTCACATGCTTGCCAACGTAGTACTTTAACCATTAATATTTTTAATCATCAATAAGTTAATACTAGTAAAAGTTATTAATTTGAAATATATTATAATGAATCTTTTTTTTTTAAAGATATTAAAATGAATCTTTCTTTTTTTTTTTTTTTTTTGAAAGATATTAAAATGAATCTAATAATATCTTTTATGTATATTTTAAGCGTAGATCACCGATGATAACCTTATGAGTATTCATAGATATATATATATATATATGAATTTATTTAATTGTGTTGGGCTTTGTTGTTCGTGTTGATGTGTAGTTTGAAATATTAACTTTTATTTCCTTTGAATTCATTTAGTTGCAAAAATTCTACTTTTCACGCTTGCTAATGCACAACATTAACTCTTAAAATCTCTAATTATTAACAAGTAAATATTATATAAAAAAAAAATATTTTGAAAATATCCATTTAAACTAATCTAACAGGATTCCAAATGACTATGGTTTTTCTTAAATAATGATCACCAAAGATAGTTAAAGTATATTTGTAAATTGTGTAAAAAACAGAAGTGTTGCAACTAAATAAAAATGGAAGAATAATTTTTCATATACGAAATGAAGGATATTGTTGTTCAAAGATGTGCGTTGAAAACTGTTAAAAAAGATAGAGAACAATCTTTTAGGAACGGAAGGGGTACATTTCTGGTTTTATTGTTCGTTATCACATCGGAAATGACCGAGTGTACATTAGAGCATGTAAGTGTTAGTGTGTGACTATAGACACCTCAGAGATAAGCTGCTCTCGCAGAATGATGCTAATAATTGTGCAATAATCATGTGTGGTTTTTTTAGAGCTTTGCTTTTGGCTACTTAATTTCTGTTGAAGGTTGGTGCATTGTTGTATACAAGTTTTTTATTTTTTTATTTTTATTTATTTATTTATTTATTTATTTTTATCTGCCCTTTTCTAATGTGATCCTTTTTTTAACCTTTCTTAGTGCATAAGAAATTTATATTGTAAACTAAGAATATAAAGTAAGTTTACTGTTACCTTGGTGTCCTTCATGTCTCATTAACTTTCGATATGCAAATTACCGTGAGTTTTGGGCAGGAGTAGAACTGGTATTGAATTAGGAATACAGCTTTTTCCTAATTTTATGTGCTGTGAGTATGTGATCTTTCTTATTGTATGCTGTAATAACACATGCAAAAAGGGCGTATTGGTGAAACTTTTCTTTCCTTGCTTTCCTTTTTTTTTTTTTTTTTTTTTTTTTTTTTGGTACGTGGCTTGGTTACATAGTATACTTTGGAGGCGAGGAATTTCTATCAAGTCCCATCATTGGCGGGCTTCGTTTCTCTTATGTATCTTTTAATCTAGTTATTGGTCTTGTTTTCTTATTTCTCTTTTTTCCCTAATGCGTTGCAATTTCAAAAGCAGAATTTCGTGACTATAAAAATCCTTGAAGTTAGGATGCCAAATATTCTTTTTTCTAACAGATCTTGAGATAAGTATTGTAATCAACCACTCCAGTACACGATTTGAAAATTCCTATTGGACAACCAGCTCTACCAAGTGTATGATACAACCAAAGCTTTTTTTTTTTTTTTTTGGTAGGGAGCTCCACATTTAGGTTGTATCGTAGATATTCTCCTATCTTCTATGGAAACTTTTTTGTATTTTAATTCCTGCTCTTAATTAGGCTGCTATTTGACAACCTACATTGAAGATTAGCCTTTTACTTAATTGCTGAAATTGTAGAAAGCAAGAAAACTTTTGGGCATTCAAACATACAATCCTCTTTGTTAGAGCTTCTGTCTATCAAGGGAAATGCTGATATATATTCTGTATGTAACACATAATGACGTAGAGTATGTAATCTTTAACCTTATTTTTTTGTTTATTTGAATCACTTGCATATCATGACTCTTTTCTAGCATACTTATGATTTGCAACTTATGTCTATGTATATGTTTGTGAACCTAGGAAGGAAGTTTAGCATTGCTGCATGATTATATTGGAAGGATGGATGCAAGAATAGATCAGACTGTGAAATTTGTAGACGTACATAATGTTTCTAATAATGACAGCTCAGGGGTAGACTTTGGTTCTGCTCCTAGACAAGTTGGAGATAGAGAATTTGAACAACCACCTTTCCTGCTCAATTCATTTGTTGAAGGTGTAGGTCAGCAGCTTGATTATGAACCTGGCTTTTTGGTGCCTGAGAACCTGGAATATAGACCAACTACTGTTTTTCATGTTGCTGACACAAACATTGAGGATTTTCAGAAAGTGCAAGAACAAGCTGCCTATACTGAAGTTGAATCACCGGAGGAACAAGAAGTAAATAAGGAGTTAATTTCTAATTCGGCAAAGCCTTGGAGCAAGGAAGAAAAGAGTGCCAAAGGCACATATTCAAAATCTGGAAGTTTGATGATGGATCACCATGTTAGCTATCAGCTACCACCTGATCATGAAGGTAAGTTTGCAGTGTATGATTTGGTTTGGGGAAAGGTGAAGAGCCATCCTTGGTGGCCTGGGCAAATATTTTACCCTTCTGATTCCTCAGAAAAGGCTATGAAATATTTTAAAAAGGATTGTTATTTGGTGGCATATTTTGGAGATCGGACATTTGCATGGAATGAAGCATCAGTATTAAAGCCATTCAGAAACCATTTCTCCCAGGCAGAAAGGCAAAACAATTCAGAAGCATTCCGAAATGCTGTGAGCTGTGCTTTGGCAGAGGTTGCAAGAAGGGTGGAATTGGGGCTGGCCTGTTCTTGTGTATCTGAAGAAGCCTATGGCAAGATCAAATATCAAATGGTTGAAAACTCTGGGATTAAGGAAGAGTCGAGTAAGAGAGAAGGAGCAGATAGATCGACAGATGCAGATTCTTTTCAACCTGATAAATTTACTGAATATGTAAGATCTCTAGCACTTTTTCCAATTAGTGGCGCCGAACGGCTTGAGCTTGTAATAGCAAAAACTCAGCTATTAGCTTTTAATAGACTGAGAGGTTATGTTGCTTTACCTGACTTCCAGTATTATGAGGGGTTGGTGGAAAGTGATGCTGGTACATGTCCTGGAAATCAGGGGATGTCTATTGAGAATGAACATGTAGATTCAAAGACCAGAGTCAATTCCAAGACAGGCCCTCGTAAACGGAAACACAATTTGAAAGCTGTTGTGTACCAAAGGAGAAAAGAGAAAGGCACTGAATTAGTTGGTGAGACGATGTATGACCTTGATGATGAATTTGATTCACCTGAGGAAGATGATATTGTTTTGGTCTCCCCTACAGCTGGTGCTGGGAAAAAATCTCCTGGATTCTTTGAAGACGATTTCGCAGCTCCTCAGAAATCAAAAACTGTTTCTGTGGCCAAGGTTTCACATACTGCATCTCCAAATCCGCAGCAATCCTTTAAAGTTGGTGATTGTATTCGCAGAGTTGCTAGCCAGCTGACTGGATCATCAAGAACCATCAAAGGTTGCAGCGAGAAAAGCAATGACAAGCATTCAGGAGATGTTGCTGATGAAGTTTTGGAACCTCTTAACGACACTCTGACTGAAAGCACTGTGAAGCAAAGCTCTTTGGTTGAATTCCTCGCACAGCTTCACTTATCTGCACGTGATCCCATGAAAGGATACAGCTTCTTTAATGACATTATCAGCTTTTTCTCTGAATTTAGAAAAGTAGCTGTCACAACTCAGAGGAAAAGATTGCGTAAAGGGTCTAGCAGAAAAAAGAAGCCATCTATTCCAGTTGTTGGGTCCCCTGAGACTTTTGAATTTGATGATAGAAATGACTCCTATTGGACGGACATGGTTGTCCAAGATAGTGCAGAAGCTAAACCAGCCCGACGTAGTCGCAAGAGAAAGGATAAACAGGTTGTTTCTGGTGATCATGAGAAGCCCCTTCAACAGAATCCTAGGAAGCTTTCCAGGAAACAGTTACATCATAGTAATCATGTATCAACTCCTGTAGTATCAACTGAGGACGAGAAGCAGCTGGACCTGCCAACAGAGCTCAGGCTGAACTTTGGTGAGATGGATTCTGTACCTTCAGAAGTGAATCTGAACAAAATGTTCAGGCGTTTTGGGCCTCTGAAGGAATCTGAGACAGAAATAGATGTGCAAAGTAGTCGTGCTAGAGTTGTATTTAAGAAGCGTTCAGATGCTGAAGTTGCTTATAGTAGTGCTGCAACGTATAACATTTTTGGGTCAACTCCAGTCAATTACCAGCTCAACTATACACCTTTTGCTTCCTTTAGTACACCCCTCGCGTTGACTAATGGAATAGAAAATACGACTTGATGTCCTGTGAGCTCCATTCCACCAGGTAGAGATTCAGGTATGAGCTCTACCCCTCTGGCTTCCCCACTAAAAAAAAATGTTGGCGTAGGAAAACATTGTTTTTTTTTATTTTTATTTATTTTTTATTTTTTTTATTTTTTTTTTAATATGTGGATTTACCTTGGCAATTGGTGCTCTTAACATATTTAAATTTTTGCAGACTGACAATTTGAAACTGATGAACAGAAGGATTGCTGAGTAAGAAGGTTCCTGGATTTCATCTGGTTAACGGTATTACACTTCCTATTGTCTCTGCTCTTTTGTAATTTCAATGATGGGGTGGGTTTCTTGTTTCCTTGCCTTGAAGCTCTATGCTAAAGCACATCATGACAATCCCAGTGAGGACATTGTTGCATCTAACAAATTATTTGATTTTTTGACCATTTGGGTGGTTGAATGAATGTATATAAGTCTAGAAGATAGTTAGGATCTAATCAACTCAATACAACACATTTAGTAGCTACTGCAGTGTCATTTCATGAAATCACTTGCTTGTTTGTCTTGCCCCCAAGAAAGCTTTTCTACAAATCAACTGAATGTAGGTTATGTAGCGATTGTCTCAAGGGCAACTTATTATCTCCCAGAAAGCACTATAGTAATGTTTGTGTTACCATACTTCTATATGAGTATACATTGCTGGCCTGAATATTCGTCCCCAATCCTTGTGGCCTCTTACTTTCCAAGTCCAAATTGTGGATCGTTGGAAGGAGAATGATTAACAAACTGCCATCCTGGAGTACCTCAGTTACCTATTGAGGGATATATCCTTGGTAAGTACTACTTGAGACTGTTACAATCTCAGTTAGTTCTCTACTTTTTGCAATCCCTTGAAATGAACTCAACGTCAACATCCCAGTGCCATCTTTGAAAATACACATACCATCTTGTTATGTTGTGCATGTTGTTTTCCCTTATTTCAGGTTGTGCTATTCAAAAGACCTCTTGACATCCCTTTGTCAAACCATACAAATCCCATCATTGAATGTACACATACCATATGAAATCCTCTCGCGTCACATATTCCCTATGGCCATATAGGTCATGCCCATGTATTGGATCATTCTGTTAAATATAAGTATCGTAGATATATATTGCACGTTTTTTGCATCACGGTCTACTAGTTGCTTCACTAGCTATCTATTGCTCATATCATATTGTCAATACTACGTAACAAGCACTACTATATGATACTCTACTGTTTTGTATAAGTTTTATCACTTTGGAACTATTGGACCAATTTTTCACTTTAAAAAGCAAAGCACCTAGAAATTTTTCTAGTAGACCTCATTTTCTGTTAGTTTTGTTTAATACAACCCACCAAAACCCTGAGCTAATCACAATAAAGCCTAGGTTTAGACCCTTACCTTGCTTCTCTCTCTCTCTCTCTCTCTCTCTCTCTCTCTCTCTCTCTCTATATATATATATATATATATATATATATATATATATATATATATATATATATATATATATATATATATATATATTTTAAAAAAAGAACCACCAATATGGCCGATAACTCAAATTACTTGGGACAATTCCCTCAAAAACATAAAAATAAATGGGTCAATGGGTATAGAGTAATTGGTGTAGAGGATAATTGGCAGAGAGTAATTTGTGGAACTTATGTTTGGTAAGCAATTCCATGATTTTGTGGACTCATTTGTTAATATATGAAGTAGGTTTATACTCCGTAGAACTATCTCAAATGTACTTATCAATGTTGATGCTTAAACTTATTTGTACTTGGTAAAACTTGTTATGGAGTAGAACTTCCTTGTGTTATTAATTGAATTTGGGTAGCCTTATTTTAAGCCGCCTAAAATTGCTTTGAACATATTTCTTTTTAATTTATTTATCTAAATTTAATAACCCTTGTGGTCTTGTGTGAATTTATATTTCCTAACATGAGTAAAAATAAGGTAATTAGAACAAGACCTAAGGAAAAAAAATATCCTTTGGATAAAAGAGGTTTTTATTTATTTATTTTTATTAAGAATGAAGTGATGTAAATGTACTGGTAGTTCAATTTCAAATGGGTACTGGACTGTATCAATTTACAACACTGAGCAATTTCAGCTTGTCTTATTGTCTTTAAGTGGTCAAATACTAATTCAGAGGCTGTTTAAATTTTAACTAAGGTCAATATAGGCTATCCCACATGGCAATATGGCACTTTCACGGTTCACTATCTTCACATAAATTAGACAGAATCCCATAGCAATAAGATTAACCATAATAAAATCCCAACTCTTTGGAATTCTCCATTGAAAAAAAAGGTGATGTAAATTATTTAAAAAATTTATACTCAAAATGGATATTATTCAAATACTAATAGACCTTTGAATGAAGAGACTAGAAAGATTGCATCTTTAACTAACTAATTATAGCAGAATATAAAATTACTCCGTAGTTTTTACACCTATTTCGTTAGATTTGTTCTGCACTTAAAAGTTGCCTAGTATCTACTTTGTTTTTTCTGTCATATGTTATAACATCATATTAGAATACCTTTATCTCATCATGTATTCAACCCCATATTAATCTAAAACACCCTCTTAGAGATCTCATTTCCTCTATTCTTGAGTACTGTAAAAAAATACAGACTTTCCATGGCTCCTATTGTTTGATAAGCTTCGCATCTCTTTTGTCATTGATGATATAACAACCCTAACTACATCCATGCGCATACACAAACACAATCCCACTCCCACAAAACTTTCACGACCACCCTTGCACACACATATGCACTTCCATTGGCGCTTACACAACCGTATCGTCTATACGTTCTGCACCCACTTTAGTGATAGCTCCATTGTTCATATGCTACTGTCCTTGTCGCAACTTTATTACAAACCTAAGTACAATATTGCCCAACTTTATTACAGACCTTGCTTCAATCCATGCCCGATATCTTCCGATGGAGATCCACTTACCATGTTATAGTTTACTTCATTTTGGTTGTAGGAAGTTTAGCTGCATAGTGATATATACTCTTTTCAACAAAAAGTTAGATGAACATAATAATAATCGAACATAACAAGTATTTGAAATTTGGAAGAAGAATATATAGTTGTACTTTCGTTTCTTTTTATTTGCAACAAATGATTTTTTTTTTATTTTTTTTATTTACTGTATTTCTTACATTAAGTATCCCTTTGTTGCAAATAAAAAGAAATAGAGGTAGTAAAAAAGACCATAATTTATTTTATTTAGGTAAGGATATTGATGCTAATTAAATCTCAACTTTCACTGTTTTTTTAGTATAGTATTTGTAGGCCATTTGTAGGCCAGACATTTGATAATGAGAGAATTGGTAAGGTATAATCCCCCCAAACACTTGTACGGAGTAGACTTATAGTTGGCAAGATTTAACCTTGTGAGTTGTGATCCCAAGATTATATGATAAATCCCTAATCCTTGCTTATTACAAAAGACCATAACTATATGGAGTTTGAAATTTGGTTATTCATTGAGTTATTAGCAAAGGTAATTAGATATTGGGGCAGTTGCAAGAGAATTTGTCAATAGTATAGTACTCTCTCTGTCCCTATTTTTTAGTCCTATTTGACTGTGCACGGTCTCCAAAACACGTTTTAAAAAGTCTATATTTTTATTTCCAAACCCGTAAAAGTTATTATAACGTGATATTAATAAAATATACAATGAGACGAATCTAACAAGACCAGTCATGATCATATTATCTTTAATTAATTAACGGTAATTGATGGTCAAAGTTTTCAAAATTTGACTCAAAAATGGCAATGAGGCAAAAATAAAGGGACGGAGGGAGTTATAAGTAGAGTACAAAAAATGTGGAAAAGGTACATAAATCCCCTATAATTGGGTCCCATGATTACCAATAAGAATGTTGCCACATGTTTGGCAATGGAAAAGAGGAAAAACATTTGAGTGAATGACTTGTACCTATACCTATGATAATTACTTTTTATAGAAAGCCAAAAGCTGGATGAAATAATGACCAAAAGTCATTGGGTAAAATTCGTCTTTATGAAAAGCCTTGTTGAAAAGAAATATGGGTCCATTAACAGGCAATTTACATTAAAGGCTGTTACTCAGTAATGGTGGATTTAATACAGCTGGCTGCTTCATTTACATTATTGTTGGACCCGTCGGGTGGAAGAGTACGAATTTTTCACATTTGACACTCCTCCATGTATGTACAAATAGTACAATCAACAACCCGAGACATGACTCGTGCTATATGAGTATACTATATACATCATTGTCGCACATATGCCTGTGTGGTGCACGAGACGCATGGCGATGCCATATATGTATACGTGCATATGAACAAAATGATAATTAATATTAATGTGTTTGCTAAAATCGTGTTGAATTGAATTAACAGTAAGGTTAATAACAGAGATTAATGGTCACACAAAATTGAACAACTCGGGCCACCATCTTTTGTGGAAGACTTGGACACAATAGGTTGTTTCTTGGAGTGCCAAGAAATGAGATTTTCTCGTCAAAATATCAATTACAGAGTGTTTTTTAAAAAACATACATTTGATCAAGAAGGAAATAGTCCATACAAAAAAAATCCAGTTTGTGCTGTAGTTGGCGTTCATATTGTGGGCTACAAAATCTCAATCCAAAATTAAGAAAAGCCCATACCTTACAGCCTTGTTGCGGAAATACTCATTTTGAATGGAAAACAAAAACATAAAAAATAATCGCCCACCGTGGGGCTCGAACCCACGACCACAAGGTTAAGAGCCTTGCGCTCTACCAACTGAGCTAGACGGGCTTGTTGATTTTATGCTGATTTATATTTATATATTACAAAAATCTACCCTTTAAAGCAGTTTGGAAAAAGCTTATTGTTAGGGGAATAAAAAATTCCAAGTAAAATCTTATAGTACTGTATATAATAAAAATGCTATCCTTTCAAAAAATTAAAATAAAAATGTTTTGTTTAAAGTTTAAACCACGTCACTCAAAAACTCCAATTAACCGTTTAATTTATAAACAATCTCTTCAAAATCATTTAAAAAGCTAAAACTATCACAATTCATTCAAAATCATTCATTAACTACCCTTTTTTTTTTTTTGAGGGATCATTTATTCATTAACTACCTCAGTCCAACAATCCTTGAAAAATAAAAGAAGTCTTATGTTATTCCGTATCATACAACTATAAAAAAAATACAATAATATCTCACAGATACACTCCAATACCAAAAAATAAAAAAAGGTAAAACAACAGATGGATGTAGGGGTGTTTGCGGTACGATTTGTATTTTTTTCAAACCGCAACGCAAATTGCGGTTTGGTGCGGTGCGGTTTAGCCATATTTTTCAAAATTATAATCATTAAAAAAAAAACTTTTATTTTATTATGTGATTATCAATTTATAATTCAAATATTAAACTCTTTTTTTTAACCTTTAATTACCTAATAGTCAAAGATTATATAGTATAAAAACCACAAACCGCATCTTTTGATCTAAATTTTTTTGGAAACCGCACTAAACCGCAAATCGTGGTTTAATCATTTTTAAAAACCGCACCGTAATTTTCAATCCGCAAACTGCACCAAACCGCAAAATTGCGGTTTGGTGCGGTCTCTGAACAGCCCTAGATGGATGA